GTAGTAATAGTCATCAATAATTCGTCTTATTTTCTAGTTTCTTGTTTTTTACAATGTGACTTGTCTCTATTTTTATATTGTTTTGTTTTGTATTTCATAAGTGACTGTACTATGAAGAGCATTATTTGCTAATAAAGAGTAATAATAATACCAAGCTTCTATTAGATACTATCAATTCACACCAACTTAGTAATAATTATGTAGGTGCAACCAGTATATTCAATATGGAAATGCATATACAAGTTCAACTTGTATTAATTATATGACTACCAATCTTCCTCAATTACAACAGCATCCTTCATGTTCAAGTTCTTCTCCCATTTTCCAATTTGTAATTATCAAAATGTGAAAATCTCAGTTTTATTTACTTCTGAAAATTAGGATGCAATTTCTCTTGTCAATTTCTATAACCGTCATAAACCATAACAAAAAATGCGGCATCTAAAATAGTTTTATGGATTATGAAGTTACTCTTGAAGAGGTTATCTTACGCTCCTATTACCATTATGATGCGAAAATGCAACAGGAACTAACGTTCAGTTTTCGGTAGAACAAGATCTCGATAAAAATTACCTCAGAGTCTGTTTATAATAATGAAGGTAAAAATAATGTCAAGACACAGTAAAAAATCTCTACTGTGGTCAAAACAAGACTGCAGTATTTTTCTAAACATAATAATTGTCGTAAAGATGCATAGAAAGTTCACTTTTGTTTTGTCAAAAAATCTCGACGCGAAAAATGAGATTACCCAACTTTGTTTACATGTTGATATAATATGGAACAAGAATATTTCCAAATGAAAATATTGGTGTGCCCTTAGCGCCACTGTGAATGGAATAAAGAAGTACGTTGGATCTGTTTATTTTATGAAGAAACAAGTTTCAAATAATTTTAATAGGAAGGGTTCAAGTGATTACATAGTATTTGCTCTGTATATAGTCTATATAGAAAGATATTTCTATAGGTACTTCTTGTTTGTTGACAGCATAGCCTTGTCAGCTAAAGCACCATATAGAAGTAAACTTCTTCGGTAACTTCTATGCGGTGGCTAAAGTATTCCTCTTAATTCTTTTCTAAAGTTTTGTCACATTTTCCATTTGATACATCAGGAAAATATTGGAACTGTGAGCGTTTTCCAGTGTTTCTTCCGTTAACCAGCTATTGCACCCCTACGAACAATAACTCTCAGAAGTCGAAACTTGTGCGAGCCAAGGACTAACGAGGTCTTACCTTTTAACGTGTGATTCCTAACACGGGCTGGACGATAGCAAGTGAAAATGGAACGTTTAGCCTGGGGCTTGAACCATCGACTCACAACATCGGCCGATTGACTGAGTGAACAAAACACCCACGTCGAACCGCTCGAAAACTAATGCAAATTAAATGTATCTGTCCTTTTCTGAGGTGTTCCTGTGTGTGTTCACTTTCTGATCGGATTCTGTAACGAGGACTTTGGTACCCCATAGCTGATTCATGGCCTATATATTATTATTACTCTTTATTAGCAAATAATGCTCTTCATAGTACAGTCAGTCACTTATAAAATACAAAACAAAAAAATATAAAAATAGAGGCAAGTCACATTTTCTTTTGAATGAATTTAATGAATCACGGCTTTTTATATGACTTGGCAAATTATTAAATGCAATCAGAATATGAAGTTGATTATTCGTGTCTGGCTTGTTGTCTGAAGTCGTTTGTTACTAGCAGGTACCAGAAAAATTTTTATGGATCAGGTATTTCACTAGTTTTTGTTAAAATTTCAGCCCTCAATATTTATAAATGAAAGGTTAGGAATTTTTGAAAAAAAATATCCCAGCTCCTGAATGAGCTAGAACATTGTTTTTATTGTGTGTTCTTTGCTGTAGCTATAAGAATAAGTTAGTAACAAATCGATAGCTTGANATGTACTCTTCTCTCCCTCAGTGCATACATACCTGCTTCAGTGCAGACTCCCTGAAATGATGAAACAATGTTTTAACTTGACCTTATTTCCTGTGAAATATCGATAAAGAAATTAAAAACCAAATAAGCATTAATAATGTTGAGAAATGTATGGAAATATTGTAAAATATGAACATTCTAGAGAAGAAAGTCTTTTTTGGTTTCTACTTCTCCATTTTTATTGGGAAAACTGGGAATAAAATCAAATAACCGTTTGAATGATGACGCCTCATCGGAGACATAATGTTGTGCGAAAAAATGCATGTGTTCTCGGCTTCAAAAGTTTAAATAGGTGCTGATGAGGTTTTTTTAAAGGACAAAACACAAGCACTACTGGAAAATATTTAAGGTGCTCTCATAGCAGTGCCTGTGCGAAAGTAGCGATTCACATTGTTTTCTTCTTTCTTCCTTTCTTTGGAAGATTCCCACATTTTTTTTGTATCAAGATTGAGAAGTATAAAGCCAAAACCTTTCTTTCTCAATGTAGTTGTTTCTGAAAGACTTTTTCTCTCAAGCAATTCAATGTTCATGCGAAAGTAGTTGTTTCAAGAGGGTGTTTTCTTCCAGTTTGTCTGATCTATACATCTTTGTTGGGAGTTTATATTGAGCTTAATTACTTTCCTTCTCTCTTCGGAAGTTTCCACTTTTTTATTATTGCAGTAGAAAGCCAAAAAATTTTTGTCTAAAAATTAATCGCTGATAAAAAAATATCTTCCTTCTCAATTCATATCTACTTATACTTATCTAAGATATATTTTCAAAGATATTTCATGTTTGAGTATCCTGATGATGAATTAATGAATTATTAAGCTGTGCAAGAAGTAATGTTTTCATATTTCCTGCTTATGTATATTTCATAAAATTACCTTGTTCAATAATAATAAATGTATTGGTTTTCAGTGAATTTTGAACTGTTGTATTTTTCAAACTGTAACAATGAGGTGAAACAACAAATTGCCAACTTAGAGGAGGAATCCAAATTCTAAGTGTGAGATACACACAGATAGTTTTTTAATGGTTTTAGAATCACTGTATTTGCATATTAGGTATTGAAATCAAGACTATATGTTCATCAAATATATTTGATTGATGATTTCATTACCCATGAAGAATGCCAATTGGTGAATTTTTTTTCAAAGTTTTTGAACCAGGGTTTTATTATTATCTAGAAATTTCCTACATTCGTTTATTATACAAATATTATGATAAGATATTGATTACACTTCTTTCTTCAACAAGAGATTTGTAAAGACTATTTTGAAAATTTTAACATTAATGTATGAACTTCTAATCAGATGAAAACTTTGCTTTTTTGACAGAATTGAATCCACAATAAAGATGGTTGTATTGTTTGTAAATAACTTAGTGATACATATATTTACAGTGTGACACACTCGAGATGAAAACACCCCTGTATTTTAGTCATTTTTGAAAGCAGATATTTGATTTATGGTACAGGCATAGATCTTCATGGACCTCACTTTTCGCAATACTTATCCCGAGTACAAGCCTTAAAACAAGCCTATTGCTTTCCTGCAAAAAGAGCAAATTCTTGATATTTTGCTTCGCGTTGATGATACCAAAATAAGTCATCTGAAAAAGTTGCTTAGAAATCGATTTTGACCCTAAATACAGAATTTCAATGCAAAATTCCAATTTTTTTTTTTGTTGATTCAAGTCCGATTTTCAATTAATCGTTCTTAATAAGAATCTACGAAAATAAGGAGTTATTTATAATATAGAAATGAGAAATAGGCAAATTCACAACCAATCATATTCAATAGGAAATTGACAAATTCCTCAGAATTGGAGACAGGCTAGTAAAGAAGTCTAAATTTGATTAACTTACATCTGATAAAACAATTTATTCATATGTCAGTTATATGATTTATAATTTGTAAAATACTCATGGCTTTACATTTTAGTAAATTTTTATAAGATTGGAATTTTATCTTATTAACTTGTATTTTTTTGTAAATCTAATGTATCTACAAGCATTTTTTAGAAACTGCATTGACGAATCTTATCCTCTCAAACTTATTTTAGCAATTCTATTGAAGTGTCTAAAAACTGTGTGTTTTTGAAGACTAATAAAATTATCATCATTTCATTGATTTTGACAATTTTATCATTTCTGTACTTCTTATTCGGAACCACCAATTGAAAATTGGACTTGCATATGAAAATTAAAATTTCGAATTTTGGGTTGAAATGTATGTAGAGTATGTAGGGTAAAAATCGATTTATAAGCAACTTTTTCAAATAATTTATTTCGGTATTTTCAACGCACTTTTCGCGAGAATGCGGGAAAACCTCTATAATTGGCATATAGATAGATAGATAGATATTCATTTAATCTCTTATGGTTGCCTTACAACATGAGATAAGTCACAGTACATAAAGAGAGAAAAAATTCTCATTGGATATAAACATTGAGAAAAACAAACATCCTAGTCGTTACAAATTAATTAGGAATAATAAGAATAAAATAAAATATGAAATATTTAAAAATAAACACATGTTAAAATACATTGAAACATAACTGCCTAGTCGCTAAGTTGTTTATACTCGTCTAATGAATAAAAGGCATGGCGGATGAGAAACTTTTTCAAAGATAGTTTGAAATATTTTGTATTGGTAATTACTTTAAAGTCTTCAGGCAAAAGATTGAACCAATGTGCTCCAGCATATAGAGGGCTCTTTATATGTTGCTTTCTTTGCAAGTGGTGCAAATGGAAGTAATTCTTCTGTCTGGTATCATATTCATGGTAGTCACTGTTACTGTTCATATTTTTAGCATTCTGATGGGTATATATAAATAATTTGTAGAGATAGATAGATGTTAGTGTTAAGATATTGTTTTCAATGAACGTGTTTCTGCAATTTCCCTATAGTCCAAATCATATATTAACAATGTATAGTTCATTTAAAATAGTGGTGTAACAAAAGCTTCTTATGTATGCAAAACCCTTAAAGGATGCTTGGCAAAAAGTATCTTTATTTCTACTTATGCATTTCAACTATTAAATAGGTTTGTGTCCAAAAATATTTTTTAATATACAAAGGAAAGTTAATTTCATATTTTGAAATATAGGTAATAAAGGTAATCATAGAGCATACATAAAGAAGATTACTATAAGTAATCTTCTGCTTCTTTGAAATATGCTCTAGATAGTCACTAGTCTAACACATTCATATTAGTACAGTTTCCTTTTTTTTTGTCTGTAATATTCAAGTAGCCCTAGAATCATTTTCTGCTTTTATGACCGCAACTTCTAACATGGACTGACCAAACTGCAGCACATCTATTAGATCTTTGGCTGCAAGTGCTATTTTAATTCTATTATTTGCCTCGTCAGCCAGTGTTATGTGTGTACGGATTACTAATAATTTCATCTTCTGCTTTTAGTAGTTTTTTATTTTTACATGGGGTCTCGTTTTTTGGTTCAAGTATTTTTTCTCAACTCATAGGGATCTCATATTTTGTGAACTGGAGGGTACTTGCTGAAACTCTTAAAATTATGTCATGAGACAAGAAATCAACATCTTTCTCTGCTTGAAAAAGGGTATATGGAGAATTAAAAAAAAATGTATTTAAACATATTGATATAGTAATTAATTTGTGTGTAAAATGTGATTTCATTTTTTGATCAAAATTCAATATTTATTATTTATGTAATAGGAAATCATTATTATAGTGGGTGATCATGATTTCCAATAGAATCAATAATAATTAAAGATTGATTAAATTACTTTGGAATAAATCGAACATGATTTTAAATTGATATACTCTTTATCTTAAGATTTTTTGAAAATAATATTTATCGAATTTGAACCATGATAGGTAATGTACTATTTTTAGTTACATTCGCAAAACGGTCATTCAATTCTATAAATAAATTGGGCAATAATTGCCTTCAGATAAATTTAATTGTAAAATTTGAAGATAAGGTTCATTCTTAATAAATATATATTCATAATATCCCATACAGGAATATTATGTAAGTATTGTTGTTAGGACAAATTTTGTATTATGTTAGGTTTTTAGGTTACTTTTTACTCTTAAAAGTAGGATAAAATAATGGAAAGACTTGAAAATGGACTATAGTTGTATTACCTTAACTTCTGCTCCACTTGCCCCAGGCATCAGCTCAGCAATCTTCCTCAAGTTTATTCCTCTAGTTAGATTCATTTTTCGAGAATGGATCTTCAGAATATCCAACCTTGCCTCCTCATTCGGTGGAGGAAACTCAATTTTACGATCTATTCTGCCTGGCCTAAGTAGTGCAGGGTCTAAAATATCGATTCTATTCGTAGCCATAATGACTTTGATGTTTTTGGTAGCTTCAAAACCGTCTAGTTGATTAAGGAGTTCCAACATGGTCCTCTGCACTTCAGAATCACCACCAGAACCTTAGAAACCAGAAAATGTTATTACTATATTTTAAAAGGTTTGAAAAATGTAATTATAAACTCTGACTCTTCATTATGTACCATTTAGGCAAAAGTCCACTAATGTTAGTGTGAGCTAAAACTATACCAAATTTTAGTTTGATTTTTAAGAATCAAATCTAATTGGCCATCAAACTAACAGGAAAATAAAATAATGTGTAAAACTTTGCTACATCAACCTAGCTACTAAAATCAAATTTTACTAATTGAAACTAAGTTTAAAGTTAAGAAAAGGCAAAGAACTCTCATCTCAGCCTTGTATATTTTAGAAGTTATTCAGTTTTACTGCCACATTTGTCACAAAATGCAATCATACCTGATTCAATTCGAGATGATCCAATAGAATCAATTTCATCCATGAATATGATAGAAGGAGCATGTTCCCTGGCCATAACGAATAGTTCACGCACCATGCGAGAACCTTCTCCAATGAATTTTTGAACTAACTCGGAACCAGATACACGAATAAAAGTACATTCCGTATGGTGAGCAACAGCTCTAGCAAGAAGAGTTTTCCCAGTTCCTGTAATAAGTAAATAGTTAACCTTTATTGTATTAGTCTGAAAATGTCCCCGTGGGACGAAACTACAGTAACGTTAGTTACAAATACTACTGGTACAAAAACATTGGAAGTTTTTTCTCATTTTTCATGATGACCTCCTACCACGTAATAACGACTACATCCATCAATTTGTTGGTTAACCTTTGTTTATAAGAATATATTTCAATTTTTATTTAGGAAAATTTGTACTCTTTATTACTTTCTGATATTCACAATTGAAATTTGTTTTCAAGGTGAATTTCAATCATTCATTTTCACCATAAATTACAATTGAAAACCAGAACAAATACAATGCATTTATGATTCGAAACCAGACAGTGCTGTTTCGACCAGCCATAGGTTTTATCAGTGATGCTAGGCTGAAACATAAATGTCTTTTTTTGTCCAACTATCCTTTAAGGACAAGCCTGAGTGAGTAAGGTGGACGATATCTTTCCTTAAGAAGATGTGAGGTTAACAGAGAACTCAATCCTCTGATATCGAAGTTAAACGAGGCTCCCCATGGCGATCAGTTGCAAAGTGAGCTTCACAACACCGTGTCGTCGATCTTACTTACTCAGGCTTGTCCTTTAAGGACAGTTAAGTCCAGCAACGCATTTGTGGTTCAGCCTAGCACCACTGATGAAACCTATGGCTGGTCGAAACAGCGCTGTCTGGTGTTGAATCATGAATGAATTATGTTTGGGCTCTGCAGTGAAAGATAGAGGTCGAATCTTGTCGGCGGTCGATGTACAAGCTTAGCTTTGCAACTGATTACCTTGGGGAGCCTCGTTTATCTATGATATTCGAGGATTGAGTTATCTGTTGATCCCATATATAAGGTAAGATGACGTCGAACTTACTTATTAATTCAATGTTCAATTATAGAGAAAAATAACCAAAAATAAACTTCTAAAGTCTTAGTAATAATAAATAAAATCATAGTAATATACAATGTACTGGAATTGAGAAAAAAACATTTTGTAGATTCGTTTTTTGTGAAGTGTGTGGTAGTTTATTGCACGGTTTGTTTGAAACCATACCAATAGAGCTATTGTAAATATGCTTTCACAGCCAGAGTTACTATTAGAGAGAACTTGTATTACCAAACATTACATCTACTACTGCAACAGACATCTTAAGGCTTCACCGACACCACTGAAGATGTCTTTCGAAGTCACAGCATACACCCCTGAAGATGTTTGCCGGAGTAATAGATGAAACGTATGTAACGGGTGATTTTTTAAGACGTATAAGATTTTCAAAACAACACAAAAATTTGAAAAAATCATTGTTTCGCGTGCCGTGTGGCATCTGGAACTGGCTTGTTGAAACCACAAGTCAGGCATGTTCAATTCTTCCATTTTGGGCAACAAAAAGTCGTTAATCATCACACAGTAGCGCTCGTCATTCAAAGTAACGTTCCGGCCATTATCGTCTTTGAAGAAGTACGGCCCGGCCCGATGATGCCACCGACCCATAATCCACACCAAACAGTGACTTTTTCGGGATGCATCGGTAGCTCTTGCTGAAGTGTGTGGTAGTTTATTGCACGGTTTGTTTGAAACAATACCAATAGATCTTATGTTTTTGGTATTATTATTACCTCATTAGAGCTATTATAAATATGCTTTCACAGCCAGAGTTACTATTAGAGAGAACTTGTATTACCAAACATTACATCTACTACTGCAACAGACATCTTAAGGCTGCACCGACACCACTGAAGATGTCTTTCGAAGTCACAGCATACACCCCTGAAGATGTTTGCCGAAGTAATAGATGAAACGTATGTAACGGGTGATTTTTTAAGACATATAAGATTTTCAAAACAACACAAAAAATTTGAAAAAATCATTGTTTCGCGTGCCGTGTGGCATCTGGAACTGGCTTGTTGAAACCATAAGTCAGGCATGTTCAATTCTTCCATTTTAGGCAACAAAAAGTCGTTACTCATCACACAGTAGCGCTCGTCATTCAAAGTAACGTTCCGGCCATTGTCGTCTTTGAAGAAGTACGGCCCGGCCCGATGATGCCACCGACCCATAATCCACACCAAACAGTGACTTTTTCGGGATGCATCGGTAGCTCTTGCAATGCTTGTGGCTGGTCTTCACTCCAGATGCGGCAATTTTGCTTGTTAACGTATCCATTCAACCAAAAATGAGCCTCTTCGCTGAACACAATTTTTCAATAAAAATGTGGATCTTCCTCCAACTTTGCCAGCGCCCATTCACCAAATGTTAGACGTTGTGGGAGGTCATGTGGCTTCAATTCTTGCACCAGCTGTATCTTATAAGGTTTTACATCCAAATCCTTTAACAAAATTTTCCATGTAGTGGAGTAACAGAGTATCTCAACATTAAGATTCTTGAGAATGGTGTAAAAACCGAAACCTTGGTCGTATCAATATAAATACATTAAGTAAGTGGAAATTAGACAAAGTATTTTATCTATATCACTTAATTTATACATAGTGTTGTTATGGTAGTGGATGATATCCTTTCTTGCTGTGAAATAATCATTTTTACCCATATTATGTACAATTATAGAAAAAAATATATAGACAAGGTAATGTCATTATGCCGATATTGACAAATTGGTTCCTACATGAAGCTGTTTTTGATGTAATAGTCATACAGGACTTCCTCTGGTACCATATTATCGGTGTTTGAAGTGGTGCTGCCTCTATAGATGTTTTTGAGTGTACTGTGGTTTGCTCTTTGGAACGTCATAAAAAAAAAGTTGGTTGGTTTGGGTTTCCTTCATTAAGGCTACTGGTCAGAGTTCTTTCATTCAGCAAGTGGCGCTCTAGACTGAAATTGAATGGGTTGTATTGTATGTTTGTTGGCCAAAAACTGCTCTCATAAACTTGCTGTTTAAATTGAGATTCTACACCTACCATGAATGATTGGTCATCATAGCTAGTGCTTCGAGTTGTTAGTTCTGTAACACTAATATTTTTGGATTGGATTCGCTCTCCGACATACTTTTCATTGTTTTCAGCCTTAATTTCGTCTGGGCTTTTTCACGTCCATGAAGGTCTTCACTCCCTTTGCTGTTTCCCGTCATATACTATTTTTTCCTTCTTTGTACCAATGTGAAATTATTATCCATTTCTCCTTTCTCTGTAGTTTATCTAATATTTCATCTTGTTTCTGCCTGGTTTGTATTTGCAAGATATCAGAGTTGCTTTGTCCAACTTGAATTTTTGCTATGTGGGTGCTCTTGCTTCTTTTTTGTGTTTTACTTCAGGTATCTGTATGTAGTTTTTACCTCCTATTTTGTCGCCTCCTGTTTGTATGGTGTGCTTGTACGGTTTTTCAGAGTTTTTTGTGGGAGCACTAAATTTGTTGGAAATAATAGAACTTGCGGATTAGCAGAAATTGTTTCCTGCATCAAACATAATTGAAACTGTTAAGTTTTCTTGCCAAAGCATAACTAGTGATTCCTCCATAAAATTTTATCATGTAAATGTGCAAGGTTTTTTTGAAAAGTCACTCCTCAGTTGAGTTGTTTGTGAAAACGTACGATGTTGATGTTCTGTGACTGTCCGAACACTGGATGCAAAAAGTCATATATATGAGGGTACTCTCATACTCGCCAAAAAAGACCAAAGTTTCTCTGAAATTGATCCTATTTAAGTTCTTTCAGTCGAATGTGAAATTGAAATTACCTCAATCATTTATAAAGTAAATGACTGTAAAGTTGCTATAGTCTCAGGAAATAGACTACCAAATGGCAATGTTAATATATTTATTAATCACTTGACTGAATCACTCAAAGTAGCTATTGACTGTTCTAATTTCGTAATTGTCCGTAGGGATTTAATATATTAATGCACACTGTAGTTATATTCAGAAAAAAATAGCCACGAAAATTTATCTTTTATTGATGTTGTCAATTGTTATGAGTATAATCCTTTATTCATATGTTTTTGACTATGTTCACTGAACGTAATGCTTGTTCGACTTATTTTCCTTGACTTACCATATATACCAAGTGTATTAAGATTGGTTTACAAATATTGTCTTTAAATTTCTTTGTTTAATGGTAAAACACCAATAAGTAACCTGAGGAATTCTTCTATTCTTTCAAAAATTTGTTGAAATCAATTTTTTTTCAAGAATGTTTTGTAATTAGTTGACTTTATTTGTATCCTATATGTTCTACATTTATATGCAATTTCTGTTTTGGTGCTGTTTATGAATAAATTTAGATCAGAATGTGTGTTTATTTTACAAACTACAATAGTTAGTATTTGCATCCTATTTGGCTCAATTATTTATCCATTTTTAAGTTAATTTTAGCTCTAGCTGAGCTAGTTCTAGACCACTTTTTATAGTAAAAATTAAGTTTTAGATAAAAAAAGGCAGTTAAACCAATAAAAGAAAACAACTTTTACAAATATATGAATTACAATGTAAAGAAAATTCATTGTTTTTCAGATTTTAACTGATTCTCTAGAACATATGGACGCAATTGCAATTTTATAAATATATGAAATACAATCACATTAGATACTATTCTGTCGGTCCAAGTTGACCTTTTAATGGTTTATTTATATTCTTTTAAATTTAGTGAATTCAGAATTATTCTGAACATATTTGAAAAGAACCAAAGTCATCAATATCGTTTCAATTTATTTATGATGTTAATCAAGATTTTAAAAAAGAAAAAACCCCTTCTCATCTGCTACTTTTCAAGATATCCAAGATAACATTTATTGATTTTGAATCCTACGTTGTATTTTGTTTAAATATGTATCTTCTGCTTCACATTCTTCTCTAAGTTTTTTTATTGTCTTTTTCCATAAAACTCTTTTCAAGATTCCCTGCACATAGTGATTCATATTCGTTGATCTTCTTCCCGTAGCAGATAACTTTATGGTCTATTTCATCAGTTTGGACTTCCATTGTCTAATATGAGACTGAAAAGTTGCCAATGTATGGCTAGGCTTTTTGTGATTTGTAACATTCTTTTCAATTCTAGTTTCACCAACCAAATTGGCGTCTTCAAGAGATGTGGTGGACTCACTCTTATTCTAAACATGGCTTCTATTTATTTCTCACACTTTCACTTTCAGACAAACATCGATGATTTCAGGTAGAAAGTGGAGAAAAAATTTCTCGTGAAAGTTCACACTGATTTTCAACAGTGACTCATGAATATCAACTGGTTCAATACTATGAAGGTGTTATCAACGTATCTCTGCCAGACTCGAGGCTTCTTCCATGGCCAGAGTTTCACATCACTCCATATATATGTTGCCTATAACTGGTGAAAGTGGCGATCCCATTGCCAGTCATTTATCTTGCATAAAGAATTTGTCCTTCAGTTGGAAATAGCAGTTCCGTACAACAGCATCCTTCATGTTCAAGTTCTTCTCCCATTTTCCAATTTGTAATTATCAAAATGTGAAAATCTCAGTTTTATTTACTTCTGAAAATTAGGATGCAATTTCTCTTGTCAATTTCTATAACCGTCATAAACCATAACAAAAAATGCGGCATCTAAAATAGTTTTATGGATTATGAAGTTACTCTTGAAGAGGTTATCTTACGCTCCTATTACCATTATGATGCGAAAATGCAACAGGAACTAACGTTCAGTTTTCGGTAGAACAAGATCTCGATAAAAATTACCTCAGAGTCTGTTTATAATAATGAAGGTAAAAATAATGTCAAGACACAGTAAAAAATCTCTACTGTGGTCAAAACAAGACTGCAGTATTTTTCTAAACATAATAATTGTCGTAAAGATGCATAGAAAGTTCACTTTTGTTTTGTCAAAAAATCTCGACGCGAAAAATGAGATTACCCAACTTTGTTTACATGTTGATATAATATGGAACAAGAATATTTCCAAATGAAAATATTGGTGTGCCCTTAGCGCCACTGTGAATGGAATAAAGAAGTACGTTGGATCTGTTTATTTTATGAAGAAACAAGTTTCAAATAATTTTAATAGGAAGGGTTCAAGTGATTACATAGTATTTGCTCTGTATATAGTCTATATAGAAAGATATTTCTATAGGTACTTCTTGTTTGTTGACAGCATAGCCTTGTCAGCTAAAGCACCATATAGAAGTAAACTTCTTCGGTAACTTCTATGCGGTGGCTAAAGTATTCCTCTTAATTCTTTTCTAAAGTTTTGTCACATTTTCCATTTGATACATCAGGAAAATATTGGAACTGTGAGCGTTTTCCAGTGTTTCTTCCGTTAACCAGCTATTGCACCCCTACGAACAATAACTCTCAGAAGTCGAAACTTGTGCGAGCCAAGGACTAACGAGGTCTTACCTTTTAACGTGTGATTCCTAACACGGGCTGGACGATAGCAAGTGAAAATGGAACGTTTAGCCTGGGGCTTGAACCATCGACTCACAACATCGGCCGATTGACTGAGTGAACAAAACACCCACGTCGAACCGCTCGAAAACTAATGCAAATTAAATGTATCTGTCCTTTTCTGAGGTGTTCCCGTGTGTTCACTTTCTGATCGGATTCTGCACAGAGGACTTTGGTACCCCATAGCTGATTCATGGCCTATATATTATTATTANTTTTTTGTGGGAGCACTAAAAAAATGGAAAAAAAATCATCCGAAACATTCGATAAAACATTGTGTTAAATAATCACCATTAAAAACAAGTTACCATTTTTTTCCCCAACATTGTATCTAAAATGTATTTGAATGTGAGATTGGAAAGAATATATATACTTTCAACATTTATTTGATTTGAGATATAGCTCTTTCCAGAAGATTGAAATGTCAATCTTGAAAATGAGTAATAAACTTTGAATATCTTCCTCCCAAATAAAGCATAAAATACATTCTTTTTAACAATAAAAACATATAAAAAAAATAGTATTTACAGTTTTATTCTTATTAATAATGCCAATTTATTTGATGTAATTGAAAATATATTTCCGTTGACAAGAGTATTACTTATGGAACTAATAAATAAATAAATCAAGCCATTTATATTTTGAGGCTGTACATATAACATTATTAATTAGACAAATATGTAAATACTGAATCGAATATATTTAGAGATTTTTATTAATACAACATAATACATATGAAATTTACAGTCAAAAATGCAATAAGGAATAATGTACATTTGTTGAAATTCCTGATAGCTTAAAGGATCAGGGTTTTGATCAGTTGGACCACTTTCTCCAATCATCATAGTCATCTTCATTTTCATCAGGTTGGAAATTTTTTCCCTTACCCTTTCAACTGAGATTCGTCAGGAGGACGAATGGTTCATAACGTAAGGTGTTTTGGTGGCGACATAAAGATCAATGACCTCTATGCCGCTCTGGCCTTGTGTACCCCTTCCTGACTGGGGTATTTGATGAACAAACTGTTTATTTTAACAGACGTCGTGGGGCCTTCACTCAACCGAGCGACGGAGCCTTCTGAATCAAGTGGGGTCGTCTATAGTGAAATCTACAGCTTCCCTAACTAATGGGTTATCATGAGTTTCCGCTGACTCGAAAACTCTCTGATTCCTCGACTGAATGGACTGCCGTATAGTTAACAGTTTCAAATCTCTGCGGATGGCTTCATTCCGCACGAACCATGGAGCATTCACTAGCATCCTGAGAGGTTTATTTTGCAACCTTTCCAAAATGGAGAGGTTTGACGGGGCGGTTTGTCCCCAAGCACCTGAAGCAAACATGATGACAGGCTTGAACCTCGTGTTGTATAGTAAAATCTTATTTTTAAGATTGAGTTTTGAATTTAGCTATCCTCATCTGCACTTTGTTCTTGATATAATCAATGTGATTTGACCAGGTGAGTCGGCGGTCTACCCAAAGATATAGGTACTTGACTCGCGTTTGCCATTCGATCTCCCTGCCAGAAATCGTGACCCTTGTGTCTGGAGAAACTTTACGTCTCCCCAAGTCTATCGCCTAAGTTTTTTTCTGGATTCACTCGAAACTTCCAGTCAAGGCACCAGGTCGTTCGAGGTCGTCCAATGTGCGTTGCATGTAGACGACCGCCAACGCCCGACCCATGGAAGAAGCGAGGAGAGCCGTATCATTGGCGTAAAGGGAAACCCACACGTGATCGAACCTCGGAAGGTTGCTCACGTAAAGGCTGTACAGTAGTAAAGACAGCACAGCTCCCTGAGGCACTCCAGTTTCGATTTCCCTGACGGGAGACAGGGTTCCTTCAACTCGGACATGAAATGTTCTGCCTTTCAGAAAGGACCTAATCCACCGGACCAGACCCCGAGGCAGATCGAAATCGAGCATTTTGTGTAGCAAGCCTTCGTGCCAGACTCGGTCGAAGGCTTTCGAAATATCCAGGAGGACGAGATGGACTGTCTTCCTGTTGCTTAGCTCTGAGATGGAATTTTCGACCAGTCTCAGGGCCTGCAGCTTTGTGGAGTGTGCCCTCCTGGAGCCGAATCGTTCGTCAGGCAGAACATTTCGGTCTTCAACTTTTTCTGTTAGCCTTTGCAGCACAACACGTTCAGCCAACTTAGCCGTCTTCCTCTGAAGCTGGACGGATCACGTCGTCATCATTTTGCCTAAGGATGCGCCGAACCCGGTGTTCCAGCCGGATATCACGGTCAATATCATCATCCGGATCAACATTAAATCGAAACTGACTCTCCATTGTGTCTGCAAACGCCAACGCCTTCTCGGCGGAGGAGTAGTAGATGCCGCACTGTCGCCAGAGCTCGTCATCCCCAGGTTCGAGCGATTCCAAACACTCGCTCCACCTCTCGTTTCTATAGCGTTGAAGCGCCTCATGGTCTGTACGTGTCTCCACTAGGTGAGCCTTGAAGGCTTCCCAATCCGTGGATGATCTCATGCGATAATCCGGGGGAGGGGATCATCACCTAGAATCAGGATGACTGGATTATGAACGATTATGAACGACAATTGGGGGAACGCGTGTTTTTCTAGTGCTTTGGGGCACCTCAGGACGCGGAAGGAGAGGGAAGCTAGTTCCCTGATCGTTGGGTTTTCAACCTGATTTAGATTTTGGGATGGCTGTTTTGGGCCACCCTGTACAGTCGAATCGATTTTTCAACCAACATTTCATGGTCACCTTCGACGGAAGATTCTGTTGTTGAGAGTTCTGACTCTGAAGTGTTGTTCTTGGCTTCGTCCTGGAGCTTTGCCATCTTATTAGCCACTTTTTTGGGCTTGTTGCCGGTATTTTTGTTTACTGAAGCGACTGGTTTGGATGGAAGAGGCGGAAACTCTTCTGGAAGGCGACGCTTTTTGTTGGCCGGTTCTTGAGGCTTGATCGTATTGTCGTCGTTGTTTCTCTCAGACTGAGCAGAGAGGGTGGTGCCGACGGGAGTATCTCTGGAGGTTACATTCCGTGACGGCGCTCGAGAATTTCCTTGGCTCCTGGTAGAGGGCCAGAGGGCTCCCGAACTGCCGCCACGGAGCTGCCCCTTAGCAGTTCTGATGGACTCGGGCCCAGGCGATCAAGCAATAAATCCATGAAGGTAATTACTTAACCCCTGTCCCTGGCCATCAGGCTGTCAAGCAGTTCCTCCATACTGCTGTCGAAAAACTCACACTCTTTGATATCCCAAGGGTAGGCGATGAACAGTTCCGTGAAAGTGATAGTTTGAACGCACTCACCAGAAGTCTGGAGGGTCCTTGCGCACTACAACCAACGCATTCACTAATAGGAGATATAACTACTGGTGAATGGCTGATCATCCACCAGAAATAGTCATATTTGTGGAAAAAACTTCGAAATTATCGCGGCGAAAAATATTCTGTGTCAGTTTGACAGCTAACGTTAATCTTAATTACTTTCTCCAATGAAATGTAGTGAGCAAATATAAGTATAAAATTTTCAAAGCTATACTGCTAGCTGAAGGAAGAGAAGAAAAAACAGTATCCTTGGTAACATCATCAATAGATTTAAAGCCTCGGTCACTCCTGCCACATTTTTTCACCCATAATTAACATTTTGCACATGCTTTAATATGTAATTTGCTTGATGATAATTTTTTTTGCGATATTCAAGACAAAGCTTTGGAAAATTGATAAAATAGTATGTGTTGGTTTTGAATGATTTGTATCGTGTATCACTTTTACATACTCCATAACAACACCGTTTTGTTGTTCCTTTTCGTACAGATAACATAATTATAATGGAGTATAAAATTTTTTTTCTGATTATTTTGACTTACTACTTTTTTTTTAACTTTTTTTACAATTATTAAACTTCAATTTATATTTTAATATTTAAAACATGGTTGTTTACAAAAAAACAGTACGAAAAAGATGGTTGATACTGACGCATGCGCACAAAAAATTATGATGAAAAGGGCGGTACTCGATTGAAGACATAATGACACTCAAGTAGTAAACTTGCCAAGTTTTTATGTCTGTGTTGGTGGTTTGACCAATCAACCGACGACTGAGGTGGCAGAAATTTGGGAAGCTAAGGCTGCACCTATATTGAATCCGTATTTCTCCCGACCCGATATGGGACGACCATCGGACGACATCGGAAGAAAAACAAACACTTAAGTTTAAAAGTAGGTGCCTTCATTGGAAGTCCTAAGATGTCTAAGGAATCTTAGGTAATCCGATACGACAATAAACAATCACTACCGATTACTGACCGACGAGTAGTCAAATCAAAAACCGAGAATACCTACCACTATTCTCGGTCAAAAGTGTTTGTTTTTAGTCCGATCTTTCATTCCGACGGAGTGGTATAATAATGAATAATAAAACTAATAAAGAGTTTTTGAGAATTCTTGTGACAGATGAGACTTGCTTGTAGGACCAGCGAAACAAGGATTACCATAATAGTGATATTAAGTCTAAACTATGGGAGGTTATTGGGGACCAATTACTGGTAAAAGGGCTGATGCATGCTCTGAAGTTAGACTAGCCAGCTATGTCGTTTTTATGCCTTCAAGAATATAGTTAAACGTTTCCATAGGCATACGATAGTAGTCCTTAAATTTATCCGGGTAGTTTCTTATAAGTAGGGAAGTTTTAAAAAATTCCCCTTCAGATTTATCTTCATTAAACTGATGCACCCATACCTTTTTCCTACGTCTCCTATTAAGGAGAACATTCTTCCATTAAGAGAGTCATAGTTACGACCGCACCGGGGGGGGGGGCGGTTACGCCCTCCAGACGCACCCTGGCGTTGGATGCGATCGGGTGTGGAGGGATGGATTTTCGGGAAATCCTTGCGGGTACCGCCCCTCACCCCACACCAACAGGATTTCGCAGGGCTTCCTCCCGCTCACCGAACCCGGAATTGCTTCCTTACATCTACTTAGTGTGGCTAACCAAGAGACATCGGCAGCGTTCGACCGAACGTTCGTACAAGTTAACTAAGCTCTTCTTTCGCCAGAGAGTGCTCGCGTCGCACACCTGCCCCGCCAACCATGCCAAATCAATTGGGAATTTGGTCCCGGAAATGGCCGGTCGGAGTCCTAAGCTCGGATACTAGTAGCTCCGTCCAACCGGGGTCCGACACCTCAAGCGTCTGCCTTGGTGCCCTCCAAGACTAGACTCGGATACTAGAGCCCGGAAGGACCGCGAGCCCCGACACCTCGAACGCTCGGATCCGTACAGAAGCAGGCGAGGATCACGGAACAGCATAAGCCGTCCAGTGCCTCAGTATGGGGCTGCAATGCACCCATGAATGGATTACCGCAACCCTGTATCCCTTTACCCGCTAGCGGAGCCGCTGCCCCTAAGAGGCCAACGCCAGTTGGAGGTGAGGCTCACTAGCCTCCAGCCGAGAGTGGGCACTCACCTCCCCCTAGAACTCAGGTTAGGAAAGTTCCCTTTCCAACGTTTGATGAGTAACCGTCGAGGACTCTCTCGAGCATCCTCTACCACACATCATATGTCGAAGATGTCGCGCCCATTACCCGTGTAGGTGCGGGATAGGGCGGTTCATCAATAACTTTTGAGTGTACGCCGTGTGGTCTGCACCGCATACCCTTACGTTACATCGAGGGGCACTCATGTTAGGAAAGTTACCTTTCCAGCGTTGGATGAGTAACCGCCGAGGGCTCTTGCGAGACACCTCTCCCACACATCTAGCTTGAAACCGGTCAACGCCTGTTACCCGCAGGTGCGGGATTGGATGGTTGACCGATAACTTTACTGGGTGAGTGCCGTGTGGTCTGCACCGGGGGACTGTCAAACACCCATAAGAGAGAGACAGCGATCACCCGCCACTCACAAAAAGTCATCTTCAAGAGTCACTTATAATTACCCCCAAAACACAACTTTAACTGTTAACCTATCAGGTCGAACCGAGTCCAGTGTAGGCAGTTACAACGGATTGCATCGGATCGCGGGGCGTCCGATGGTCGTCCCACATCGGGTCGACAGAAATACAGATTCAATATAGGTGCAGCCTAACCTGGACTGTCATCGAAAAACGAATCCATATGTTTCTAGAAATGATATGAAAACGAGAAAGGTTAATGCAGTCAAGCTGCTGGAAAATAATTCCATGAAAATCAAAAGATAAATATTCTGATCATTCCCATATTGATTTCAATTTAAGAGCCACCGGTAGACAGCTGTTTCAGCCTATTGGGCATCGTCAGTACCGGGCTATCACTGGTGAAAATGGTGATCCCTTTGGCAGTCACTCATCTTGCTTAAATAATTCGTCCTTCAGTTGGAAATAGCAGTTTCGTACAACAGCATCCTTCATATTCAAGTTCTTCTCCCATTTTCCAATTTGTATTTATCAACATGTGAAAACCTCAGAAGTTTTATTTACTTCTGAAAACTAGGATGCAACTTCTCTTGTCAAGTTCTATAACCGTCATGAACCATAACCACAAATGCGGCATCTAAAATAGTTTCATGGATTTTGAAGTCACTCATGAAGGGGTCATCTTACTCCCTCTCACTATTCTGACGCGAAAATGCAACAGGAACTAGGCTAGGTTAGGTCAAAAGAGATTGGGTCTATTCGACCCTCCACCGCGTAACCCGCAAATGTTTATTGTGGTTCACACCTATTCACACTCGACCAAATGAACCCATATTCTTAACGAAGCCGATTATTTTGTATGGCGAGTGGTCTTTCAGGTCAGGGTAATGCCAAACTCTGAAAACCTGATTCGGCCCCCCAGAGGGCCAGGCACATAGTATGTGTTCTGCTGTTTCATCATTTTCCAAACAGAGGCGACACACACTATCTTCCGAAAGTCCGAGTCTCTGCATATGATGATTCAAATGACAGTTACCTCTGAGAAGGCCTGTTAGTTAGACATCGTAGGCGCTGGCGAATGCCCTGTTGGGATTTTTTGCGATCTGAGCAGGGCATTTGACTGCGTCAAAGTTACATGAACTAGGTTTGGGAAAAATTTGGAATAAGCAGATTGATTCATTTATGTCTGTCAGAAGCCAATATGTAACCATCACCAATGTGATTAAGGATAACAAAAGAACAATCAACTCTCAATCGATATTTCTATCAGTTGGAGTACCACAAGGTTCAGTCTTGGGGCCTGTACGAGTATATATAGATAAAGCTGACGAATCTGTTCCTGATGGAAAGTGTGTGAAATTTGCTGAAGACGTTGGCATGATTATAACAGGCTCCGACCAAATGAGTATACAACGGAAATGCGAGCTGAACTGATGATTTTCCAGTAACTCACTTGTTTTCAATTCAGATAAAACAGTAATTATTTAATTTTGTAATTATCAAAAAATTCTTGTCCCACTATATATTGATGTGGATAATCAGCTGCTTTCATTGTCGAAAAGTACTAAGTTTTTGGGTGTTGACAAAAACCTTATTAATTTTAAATCACATTGTGATGGACTCATACCAAAATTGCATTCTTTAGCATTCAAGCTACGAAATCTCAGCTACATTCTTGCTCTAGATCAACTAAAAATTGTATACTATGCTGAAGTGGAGTCGAGGTTGCGCTATAGTGTCCGTTTCTGGGGTTGGTCAACCAACGCAGGCAAAAAAAATTATTTCAAGTTCCGCTAGCTCGAGGGCGGATTGCTCTGTGGTAATTTCCAGAATGCTTTGATTTCCAGCTTTGACAATCAGCAGTCTGTCGCACTCTGCATTAAATTGATTTGTGAAATTGGCAATGTGCACAAGTCTATATGCAGTCCATCTAGCCTCTCTCTCCAAAAAAATGTGGAGAGGAAGTAGATCTAGAAGAATCTCCATGACCGCTGACGGTGTGGGACTGATGACACTACTGTTAGCCAGACAATCCTGTCTCGTAAGTCAGAGAGCTTCGCCTGAGGCGTTTTCTGTAAAACCTTCGGCCACCAGACAATTGCTCCATAAGTGATCATTGGTCTGACAAACATCACATAAATTCAATGGATTTGTTTGGAACCTAAATCCCAAGTTTTACTACAAATCCTTCAACATGTCTATCCATGTCATAAAGACAGTCCG